AAAGATGGCCTTCAGCATCAACACTTGTGCTTGAACCAACAACTAGGCCTGGTCCTAGTTCCTCACTGTGAACAAGGAGAGGGTCCAGCATACATTACGTGAGATAACATAATCTCATACACACAAAGAGAAAATCACATAGATAACATAATCTCTCACACACCGAGAGAGAAAATCACAATTTTCTTAGCCAATCTCTATAAGTACTTTGCAGGCACACCATACATATTTGTTATGCATTTGCTATATTATTTTTGTAAATAAATTCATGCTAATCGTTGAGAACTCCCTCTTAATAAAATACTGAACTATCCCATCTTGAGGCCCAGGCTATACACAGAAGAGGAATAGCAGGCATGAAATTGGATGGAAAGGTAGGAATCATGGAAATGGGCAAAAAGGGTAGGAAGTAACTAACGGTTATGAGCCAGGCAAGACATCAAATTCAGAGTGAAAGGCAATTCATTCCTGCAGTCCAATACTTGGCAAGGCATGTCATTGAATTCTCCTTCCTGTTACTGCAGAAAATGCAAAACAAACAACCACTTAGATCATGTAGCAGAAAAAATACAAAAAGACAAGGAAAATGGTCTAACACCAGCATATTGCATATACTCAAAACTAAAATTGCGCGGTTGGATACTTGCAATTTACATTGTAGCTTACTGTGATTATGTAACTGAACCTTTTATTTGATTAGTTTTCACGAAAGGTTAATAGGAACAAAGCAACACTACTACTATGTAGAAGAAATAAAGGAACTAAATGAATAAGCACCGAAACATATTGTGCTATCTAACAATAAAAGTTGTGGTGTGTGCTAGAAAAAAATAGGATACAAATTGTTAAGTAAGAGAAATTGATAATCCCTGACCGAAACATATAGTGAAGCCTGCTGAGAATAAAGTTGTTTATGGATTGCTACCAGTGGTACTATCACTACAACCCTCCTCCTTTACCAGGGCTTGGCACCTGCTACGATGGTATATATATATAAACAAATTTAAACATGTTTTACCACATATCACAATAAACAGATCACAAGGAAAGATCATAATTTTTTTTTCTATGGAAACACAATCATAGATCACAAGAAATAATTTTTTTTCTATGGAAGGACAAATCACAGTTTTTTTTCTATGGAAACACAATCACATATCACAAGAAACAACTTTTTTCTATGGAAGCACAATCACAGATCACAAGAGACAATTTACAATTTTTCCCCATACCAGCACAATCACAGAGAGAGAGAGGGAGGAGTAGCACAATCACAAATAACAGATTTCAAGATGTGTTAGCACAAATTACATGATACAATTTTTTTTATGAAAGGACAAGGACAAATAAGAGGTGTGTGTTGACACAAATCACAATTAACAGATTTCAAGATGTGTTAGCACAAATCACAAGACAATTTTTTTCAATGGAAGGATAGATCACAATTTTTATCTATGGAAGCACAATCATAGATCACAAGAGACAATCTTTTTTTATGGAAGGACAGATCACAAGTTTTTTCAATGGAAGCACAATTACAGAATACAGAGAAACATTTTATTCTATGGAATGACATATCACAATTTTATCTATGGAAGCACAATCACAGATCACAAGCTCAGCCCATCTAACCAGGGTTCCTGTAGAATTGAAGCAATTCAAGCATCCAACTCACAAGCTCAAAGCTAAAGCCTGAATAAATAAACTCAATCCATGTATGAAATAAGCAGGAGAGGTGACAGGAGAGTACCTGATGCAAAAGGCGGTGACCGGCTTGTCACCAAAGAGAAGGGTCTTGGAGTCCTTTGAGGGTGATTCACTGTGCTTCCAGTAAAATGGTGCTTGAGCCTGAACATATGGTAGATGAAACAATAACATGTACCTGCCAGCCAATATCGAGCTAAGAACAGAGGGTGGGATTGGTATAGCACTAGCATACCTAGGGACAGCAATGAAGGCCCCAGTGCACTACAAACACAAGGAATAGCCAGTTAGTGAGATCATTATTATATCACCATACAAACCCACATAGCAATAATGTGCTGGAATATTTGTTTTTTTTTCTGAGCAGCGAGCTAAACCTCCAAGAGAGCAACAAATGATGCTGCCATCATTGCAAAAGCTTCACCTGCATCAAAAGTTGAAGCACCCCACTGAAAGGGATATTGAACGCAAAATGTGGGGGCATATAACAGATTCAACCATAGAGGCAAACTTCCTGAACATATGTTTTTCCTGCTTAATCAAATATAAAAAGGAAAACAAAATAGTGATAAAGTTATTTGTAAAGACTAGATATTGCACATGTTACACACAATAATTGCAGTATTTGAACTGTGCAATTTACTACTAATAAATATGCAATCAAGAAAATGGTGCTTGTACATAAAAGAATAGAATGAAATCACCGTTCAGTAGAATTCTAATGCAGTTTGCAGTATAAATTCATCATCCTCCATGGCTACGTAACAAAAAAAAAATTCACTGCAACCTCACTGCAATATTTACATGCAGGTCAAACAATTGTTTTGCTCAAAAAACTAATGTTGGACTGCTTGTACATGGTATACAAGTCACATACCCGACCAAATAAATCCTCAGATACACAGCTGAATCTAGACCTGCATGGCTAATCAACTCATCTTCAGGCATTTTGGAGCAGCAGGCATCCAACTTAAGAATTTCAAGTATGACCCTTTAGTATCAAATGTAGCAATGACAAAATCCATGCTACTTCAGTTCTTGCACCAAATAAAGAACTTCAAAAATCATGTTAATGACCTCATTGCTACCTGCAGCCAGTCAAAGTACAATAGGGAAAAAAAGAAACAAAAAAAAAGTTCTAACTAATTGCAAGCTGGCAAATTAAATCTCACATGTACATAGACAAACACTCTTCAATCAGACATATATGTCTGATTCAACACTCTTGCGCTGATGAGGCCATAGACCAAGACTAAACAAATCTAACTATCTCGGGCATATAGGTCTGCACAATGAAAAATTAATAATTTTTTTATAAAATTGGTTAATGACCTCATTGCTAGCTGCAGCCCATCAAAGTACAAATAGGGAAAAAGAAGAAATAAAAGAACAAGCCCTAACTATTGCAAGCTGGCAAATTAAATCTCACATGTACATAGACAAACATTGGATACTGAACACGGGCATCTCAAAAAGTTCAGGCTGCCTGGACACCAATTCTAGCAATTTAGATGGGCTTCGACCCCAAAACTGAAAATCAATCTGTAAATACATGTAGCCATCCCACCGTTGGACACTAAAGTCAGTAGACATAGTACAGAATGATTTCATTTGAACAATGGCTAGGAAGAATTAAAATCAACAACTAGTACTAACAGGCTAGAGCACATAGTTTCAGAGTTTAGTTAATTTCTAAGTAAAGACTGGAGATCCTAGAATTTAGTACTAACAGGAAAGTAATGCACCTCAGAGCAAAAGGATCCCAATTGTTCAACAACACGACATAATATTCAACACAGAGACAATCCTCAATCAAGCTGTAGCTGTGTGTGTGTGTGTTTGCGATCTGCACACAGATAGGCAGGCAAGCTGTAGCTGCCCGGCGCCTATACTGCTCCCGTCGAGCCCCATTTCTAGCTTGCCAGTGAGATAGCTACTGCTGCTACCTAGCTCCGACCACAGCAGCAGTAGCGCAACCGGTCTCAACCCGCTCACAAGTCGCAACAGCGCGCAGTCGCTCCGCCCTACCCGCTGCCTGCCTGACAACATTCCCCCCCCCAGCCTGTGCGCGGTGCAAATCCAAAGCAGCGGCGAGGACACTGCCTGCGCCACTCAGCGATGCGGAGAGGATTGGGCTGCAACCAAATCCACAGCCGCCACAACACAAAAAATCCCCAAATCCAACCAAAAACCAAATCAGTGAGCGAGGAGACACACAGAGAAGGGGAGGGCGCGGAGCACCAAGGTCGCCTCTCGAATCGAAGCGACGGCGAGAGAATCGCCGGGGACGAACACGTTTCCCCTTCCCACAACACAGTACAGAACCACAAAATCTACACCACCAGCACGAAACAGGATCTGAGTACACACCTTCGGCAGGAGTCCGCGATGGAGAAGAACGAGTTCGCCGGAGCACGACTTCTGGATCCAAATCGAAGCACAAAATCGCCTCGGGAACGCGTCGGCGGGCAGAGCAAAGTGGGGAAGAAGACGATGCACATCGGTGGGGAAATGGATGGGCTCGACTCCCAATTCAAAACAGTAAAGCCAAAGTGGGCCCCACACCTCAGCTTCACAACGAAACCAGCGAAAGTGGGAACAGACCACACCGTCCATCCTTCATCCAACGCAGAAGAAATTCGTGTGCTGGAGACAAAAGAAACACACGAGCATGATATAGCAATTCCATTTATAAAAGACAATCCTAACCTACCTGCCACTAAAAAGTTAGAGGTGCCACTGACTTTAACTTATTTGTCACACACATCATTTCGTCTCCGTTCTATTTGATTTTAACCGTTTTAAAAGCTCTGACATATGGAACCTGGTAGATAAATTGTCTAAAATACCTCTCTCTCGTCCCTGTCCTATCTCTCTGACTCTCGTTCTCAGACTCAGATTCAGCGCAGCCGCCGTCGTGGGTCTCGGCGGAGGGCCACCAGCCGCGCGAGCGTGTCGCCATGGGCGGCTCCTGTTGCTCTCACGTCAGCCACAAGCTCTGGATGGCCTCGTCCAGCAGTTCCCTGGAGCCGCGGTGAGCAAGTGTCCGCGGGGACGATCGAGGAGGCGAGCTTGAAGACAGTCAACACGCGGCGAGCGCCTGGCACACGCGCATGGCGGAGACGCACAGGCGCGAGATGTTTCCATCCAGGGATTGGCTTCTCTCCTGAGCCAGAGACCACGGGAGCAGCTCTACATTCGCGCGCGCTGTTCTGCCGTGTGCTGTGCGCAACAGCGTCCTGAACGCCGCGCCGCCCCGGAGAAGACTCAGGAGAGGGAGGAGCACGCCCACGGCGATGCAGTGGTCAGGCTGGCCCGAGCGCCCAGCGGGATGTCCCACCGGCGCATGCTGCATGCCGGACGAGCACGCGCTGGCAGAGGGAGGCGAGCACCAAGCTGCAGTGGCGCGAGTCCATGTTGAGGAGGAGCGCCGGCAGGCAGAAGAGGAGGTCCACGGCGGCGAAGCGCCGACAGGCATGACAGAGCGTGGAGGTGAGGATGCGGAAGGTGTGGCAGCATCGGGGCCACGTGCGGGCGTGCGGCGCGGTGCTGAGGAGCACCGAGGGCGACGCGGTATAGCTATGGAAGTACGGAGACGAGGAGGAGCAGAGTAGCCCCGGTCACAGGTCGGCATAGGCCAAGCCACGCGCTCTGGCCGTCTGGGCGACGGCGACGTCGCCATGGGGTGGGGCGCCAGTGTCCAGCTTCGACCGCGCGGCATGGAGCGTCGCCGCCGTCATGCTCGGGGCGCTAAGCATCTCCTGCCCTGCTCTGCTCTTGTCGCTGTGGACGCCGCGCGCGTCCTCGTCGCCGTGCACGTAGTCTCCTCGCTCGCGGCCGCGGCCGCGCCATCCTCGACGGCCGGCTCGATGTCCGATCACCGTCGGGAGCGCCTCCACCGCGCCCTTCGCGGCCGGCCGCCCGCACTTGCCCGGGCTGTTGGCGGCGAGCAGCACCTCTCACTCCAGGCACAGCACCATGGGCGGACCCAGGGCCCGGCGACCCTGGGCGCCTGCCCGGGCTCCTTCGTGAGTCGCTGTGGAGTTATAGAAAGCAAGAGACATCGAGCCATGCAAGTGCAGTACACGCATGTGAGGCGGCAAGTGGCCGGCGGCTTGTTTTTTAATCAAAGGCATATCACCCGGCTTTATTGAAAGCTTAACGAAAACCCTGGCCGGCGGCTTGTGCTCACGAGTAATTGATCTTTGCTCTTGCAGTCAGTAGCTATATCTATCATCACTTCATTAATGCCCTATTTACTAATTATTTTCGGTTCTTTTTATGGATCGAGGTGTTTCTTGGTCAACAATATAGGAAATTAAACTAGTAATGAAAGTCACGTACGGTACAAAGAAACTTAAATGAAGATAAGCAAGGGAAAGCACCAGATTATTAAGAAACAACAATATGGGTAATGTTGCAACTGAGTTTCGCTCAAACGAAATCCCATGTGTGTACCAAATTGACCAACAAGTATTCAAATCACTTGATGAAGTAGTCATTTTTTCGACGGTTTAGTAAGAATAAAAAAAAATGTAGTTCGTGTGAACCATAAGCAGCCTGATCGTTTGGCTGTGGCTTGTCGTAAACGATCGTAAATTTTCAGCCGGAACAGTATTTTTCTCTCACACAAACCAGCCAGCAGTACTTCTTCACGAACCAGCAACGAAACGAACCAGCCAACCGAACAGGCTGAAGAATTTTGAAGACATTGTCTCCTTTGAAGACTTTTGGTGAAAAATAGTGACACACAATCAATTTTAGTGTCATATACCATGACAATTGATAATGTTATGTTCGCCAGGCTCTAGAAAATCTCTAGGTCCGCCACTGGCACCGCGGACGCCGCAGCCGCAGCCTCCTCCTCCTCCTCCCTGCCGTGGCCTGCTCCCACTCGTCCACGTCGCTCACGCCCACGTCCCACCTCTGGTGGTGGTCGTCGTGGCCCTCCAGTTGCAGACAGTCGCAACATCGCGGCAGACCGAGCTCCCCGTCCTCGTAGGGTGGCGCTCACTCGTCGTCGTCCCCGTCGTGGAAGCCGAGCCCAAAGAAGGACGACACCGCGGGCCATGGGGTGGGGTGGGGTGCCAGCGTCAGGGACGGCCCGCACGACCGTGGGGTGGGGTGGGGTGCTTGCGGTGGCGCCCGCGCGGCCGGCGTCGAGAACGGCCTGCACGTTCGCGGCGTGGGGTGGGGCGCTCGCGCTGCCGACATCCGGGACGGGCCCATGTGGCTCCGCTGCGGCTCTCTCTCCTCCCTCTTCGCCTGTGGCCAGCAAGGGCCCGGCGGAGGCTCGGGATGGGGCGGCTGCGGCGCCTACACTCATGCCTGCACGCTCGCCGGCGGCCGCGGTGGATGCGGTGCCCGCGCGCACGAACGGCTGGCGGGGCGGAGCTCGCCCGCGCGCGCGTAGCGGCGTCTGGGCGGAGCTAAGCTCGCCCACACGCCGGTAGCAATGGTGGGGGATGCCCTAGCGCTGCGTCTTTCAGGCGCTGTCGATTCGGCCGCGGCGGCGCTGAAGAGAAGAGAAAGAGGAAGGTTTGGGTGGCTGACAAATGGGCCCCAAATGTAGGGTAAAATGGTCTTTTTGTCTGTCTGTATGACACCGTTAGAGGTCAAAGTGGACGGAATGATGTGGAAGGTAAAAAAAAGTTTAGCATAGTGGCACTTAGGTGTGTTCGAACTTTTTAGTGACCAGTGGGTTAGGACCATCTTTTGTAATGGCACACAGGTAAAAGACTCAAAACAGAGGGGCCCTAAAGAACCAGAGCAGAGGAACCAAGCGGATGGGGAATGTTTTTTTTTATTTATGAATTGGTTTGGAACCTATTTTGAGGAATGGATTGTTTGGTTTTAGAGGAAGAATTAAATTGTTCGACTTATTATATATGGTGTGGTGTTCATCCTTACCATGTTTAGGCCAGATGCCTCCAATTCTCCTCGGTCAATATAGAGTCTAAACTCCAGACCAGAGACAGTCACGCGAACTCACCAGCAAGTCACAGTTAACTTGTTTGTTGAGTCATCACACACACATTTTAACGCTAGCAATCATAGCAACTTGCTGAAATGATACAACAGCTCATATATCTTGTACCATGAAATGGAAATGGCATGTAATACTCACTGCAGTATATATGCATTGTTAGCAGATAAAGAAAGTGGTCTTTTGACGTTACAATCTCATACATCTTTCCTATTTGATAACTTAACAGTTGGAGCAGAGTACATGTATTGTTATTAGTGTTTGTTGCCAGGAGTACCTTTGTAAGGTTAGAAATGAGCCTAATCACCTTTTGTATCTTAGTTATTTATGAGATATTGGAGGTCACCAAACTTTGAAATAGGCTAACTGACATAACAAGCACCAAAAGATAGTTAGTGCTTTACTCTGGGACACTCAGGTCTATTTGGATGCAACCCTAAGGAAAATATGTCTGCCCCATAGACTGCCAGTGATCTGCCTCTACGTTGTTTGCTTACAATCCTAGTGAATTGCATGTAAGCATCATCATCCACTATGCCTAGGCACACAGAAATTGGTCGTCTGACTCCACCTGTTGTCCTACATATAGTATCAACAATCCAATTATGATGTCCACTCTACCACTTGGCGAGATGGTAGACCAGCGCACCCACCAATTGCAATGTGGACCACTGATCTAGGCCATGAAACTTCTTGATCGGCCATTGACCCTGTCCAGGTTATCACCAATTCAATTGATGGTTACAACATCTGTTTTATATTTTTTATTGCATGTGTCACCAGTTAAATTAAGAAACTACTATCTATACAAAAGAAACTCGCGCGAGTAAATGCGTAAAATGTGTTTCTCCTTTTACTATAGGGTCATGCTCGTGCATTGCAACAGGAACCAAATAATATCATAATATTTCTAGTGGAGCTGAATTTGATAAACCCTGTGATGGTTTTGCCACGTTTCTGTTGGAACAGATAGATCTGGGGTTTTAGCCATAAGCTCTCAGTTTACAAGAAGCTGAGTATGCAACGTTCGGCGCAGAATTGAACTAGATGTACCACGAAGCCATTTGGTAATGTTTATTTTGCCCTCAAGGACATGTGCCACATATGCATATACCGTTGGATGCACTTGGGGCAATGCCCTTATTAAGGGCAAAATTTCCACATCCTGAAGCTGATTTAACGACCATGTTTATTCTACTACACAGGATGGAAGCGCTACCTGGCGCCTATGCCTCCGCAGTTCAGAATAACCATACATTTGTCTTTTATTTTTCTTTTCATTTCCTTTCTTTTAATTTCTTCAGAAATGCAGACAGGTATAAAGCATGCCTCCTTCGCATCCGAATTTCATGAGCCAATCAACATCCGACGTGCTGCCCAACACCAGCAGATGCAGTGACCAATGACGAGCTCACAAAGCCAATGGGCCCACCGTTCAGTGGCTACTACTCCTGAGTCCCACCACCACTTCTTCACCACTACCACCTACCAATGACTCTCCTGTGCTGACAACTAAGCACAGAATCTGCGTTCTTCCTCGTCTGGTATAGAGATGGATCATCATCAACAGCAGCAGATGCTATCACCGGACATTGACCATTATTCATGGCATTATTTCCAGCCTCGCTTTCTTCATGAGTTCTGATATCTCACCATTTTCTTTGTCCTGCAAAGAAGGACCTAACAATCAAGGACCACCAAGATAACAGAGGTATTCAGATCAATTAGCCTGTGAGCATTTCAGAAAAGTTCAGTGAGACATGCTTGTGCTGTTGTGCAGAGCAGGTGAACTTATATACACAGAAGGGGAGCGTGGGTTACCCTACCCGGCTGAGGAAGTCTTGAGCTGAAGGAGGCAGGAAGAACAGTATGCTGCAGCGGGCGGCCAGCAATGCGTATTCGTGGTGGTGGGCGAGCCATGTCCGCACCAAGCAGTCCAAATGGCTCGACAACAACCTCAGAGGTTCGTATTTCTTGAGAACACATCTCATCCATGATCCATGTTGATTCAGCCATAAAACCTGGGTCCAGCCAGCCTCCCTTTTTCAGAAAGACTATGCTCAAGACCTTGCTTCATGTTCAGCTTTAGTTTCACCATGTTATGACATTTTGTTACAATGAATGATAGGATGGTTGCTCTGAACTATTTCTTTTCTTCCTCCAAGCTTGGATAATTTCCTGCAAAAGATCCCAAATATATGAAAAATGCATGGTATGAATTACGAAATCTGTACAGAGGATTAATTGTACCAGGAACACCTGGTTTCTAGCAATAAAAACCTCAGTCCAGGTGATTAGCAAAGTTTTGTATGGATCATCTAAGCATAGAGATGTTTTTTAAAGTATCTAAGCATAGAGATGTACTATTCACCTGTCAATGTCTGGTTACTCAGAGCAAGAAGTACTATGCTTTTCATTCTAGTTCGATTGGTGTTGACCAGTAGTGACAAATATAATACAGTTTGTCACGATTGTATATCATTTTTGTGCAAATGAATTTGCACAAATTTCAAGGCAGTCAAGTGCATAAAAAGAAAGAACAAACTGAAACCCCATGACCGTAACAATTTCTTTGATTGAAGTCTACACAGTTTTGCAGAGTATTGTGGAACACCCTTCAATATGTATTTCCTTCTCTGTTTCTTGATTATCATCGTCCTTCTTTGTTTGCACCATTAATTTTTTTATTATCATATTTACCACTCCTGTTTCCTAAAAGAATGTTTTTTAATCTTTCTCAATGCATCTAATAATGGCATTTGATTATACTTTCTGAACATCTAATGTTTCAAATTGGTTTGAAATTATGCTTGCTTTTTAATTGCTCATCACCGGTTTCTTAACATGGGTTTCTTCCAGACCACCCTCCTATGTTTCTGCTTTTTAAACACTGGTTTTTTCACAATCAAAACATTTCATATCATTCTGCGCAAATAAATTGGCCACAAAATTGAAGACAGTAAAGTAAAAAAAGAACAAATTGAAACCTCTGTTACATATCAACCAATTAACAGTTAGAATTACTTTCAACTCTGCACATTTTTATAGGGACTACTATGATACATCCTTCAAGACATATTTTGCAATTCATCCAATACATTTAGACAATGACTTCTGAGATTTTTTTTTCTTTCCGAATATCCAGTGTCTCCAATTGTACTTGATTTTTTTCATTGTTCAACATTATTGTATTTTGGGTGTTGAAAGATTTCCATGCATGTGCACTCGTGCAGATATGGAAGATAGGGTCAAGTGCATTCTCTTCCTCCTTGGGGAGGAAGCTGATTCTTTCGCTAAGAGGGCAGAAATGTATTACAAGCGACGACCGGAGGTGATCAGTTCAGTGGAAGAAGCATACCGGGCATACAGGGCCCTTGCTGAACGCTATGACCATATGTCAGGGGAGTTACACAAAGCAAACCACACCATTGCAACTGCCTTCCCTGATCAGATTCAGTATTCACTGTTAGAAAAGGACGATGATAATCTCCCAAAGGCTTTTACCACAGTTGATCGTCGCAAAATCCACAAGTCAACGGTGGAGGGACTGATGAAGAAGAAGCATGGTGAGAAATCAAGACTGAAGGATTCAGGCAAGAAATCTGCAGCTCCAATCAGCAAGGATAATGCACAAGCTGAGATTAGCAGGCTGCAGAAAGAGATATTAGTCCTGCAGACTGAGAAAGAATTCATCAAAAGCTCCTATGAGAGTGGAATTGCAAAGTACTGGGATCTTGAAAAGCAAATTAATGAAATGCAGGAAGAAGTTTGCTACTTCCAAGATGAGTTCAATGAAAGTGCAGCGATAGAGGATCATGAGGCCCAGGCTTTGATGACAGCCACTGCTTTTAAATCTTGTGAAGGTGCCATTATCAAAATGCAGGAGCAACAAAAGTCATTTTTCAGGCAAGCAATGATTGAGTCCGAAAGGGTTATGGTTTCTAGGGAAAAACTGAAGGGTATCTTCAGAGCACATGGTAAATCATTATCATATTCAGGAAATTCTGCAGATGAGAATGATAATAATGATGCCAGTGCTAGGAAAGATGAATTGTTCTCCATGAAGCAGGAGAAAACTGAACTACAAGAACTTGTAGATAAGATCAGGGGATACTTTGAGATGAGCTCTGATCTTTCTGTGGAAGATATTGCAGAGAAAATTGATGAACTAGTTAACAAAGTTGTGGATTTGGAACTCATGATTTCGACACAGACTGCACAGATAAATAGGCTGTGTCTAGAAAACAATGAGCTGGAGAAGTCATTGCAGAAATTGGAGGAAGAGAAGACAGAAGAAACCCGTGACTCTGGTGAACTAAATGAAAAGCTCAAGGAGGTAGAAGAGGAGCTTATTAGGGTGCATAACCTTGAGGCATCCTATCATGCAGAAGAAAGAATAGTCTATACAAATTTCGAAGAAACAATAAACAGTTTCTGTGATATTTCACATATGCTGCAATCACCTCTCATTGAGCACCAATCAGTTTCCAGGTGCATACTGACTGATGAAGCAACAGCATCCACTGACACTGAACCAAGCCCATCAGAAGATCCTGAGATGGATGAAACTGCAAGGAAGCCACATGTGGATGGATGTCCTAATCGTCCAGACACATCAGAGCCAAGAATCTTCCATGACGATTGTCAGTCATCTAGTTGCCACTATGAGATTAAAGCAGAAAAGCATTCTCATGTAGATAAAACAGAGGATTTGTGGTGTTCTGAGTTTGAAGATAAGTTCAGTATATCTGCATCAGTGGATGTAGGAACAACAGAAAATGCAGACCATAATTTGACTGCTGATTATAATAATGGAGGAGCAGAACATGTTGATGAAATCACTAGTAACACTGAAAGCAGTGTGCAACCATATATTGCACACTCCCATGAGAGTGACCCATTAGAACAGCTGCATCACATTTCCCCAAGAAGCCCAGGAGAAAATGTGAAACAAGAGGATAATGTGATATATAACTCAATACAGTGTAACAACATGTCTGAAAGCAGGTCAGAACAGAATATGGAGATGAACGAAGCAGAAGCTTCACATATCACTAAAAATCCTTGTTCTACTAGTGGGGAAGTTGCAAATGTTGGAGATCAAGAGGATGTCATGATTAATCTGCAGCAATTGCTTATGACTGGACTCGAAGATAAGGAAAAGGTGCTATTAGACGAGTACACTTCCATCCTCCGAAACTATAAGAGTGCAAAACAAAAGCTTGCTGAAGTGGAAACAAAGAACCAGGAATGCTTGAATGAGATGCGAGCCATGATAAGCGAACTAGAGTGTGCCAACGGAATGAAGGATGCTGAGATTCGGTCACTTCGTGAGCTCTTGGAATCTTTAACTTACAAAGATGCATCACAAAGAGGTCCTCAATTGAATTCAACCATGTCCCTAAGTGAGAAGAATGGAATGGTTAGGGGCCACCGAAGGACTCCAAGTATTTTGCAACTTCATCAACGGGCACAAAGTGTCTCCTCTATTCATAGGAGAATAGAAAATAATTGTAGCCTGAAAAATAATCTGAGTACAAATTCTTCCATGGAACCTGATGCACCACACAACGCTATTACCATTCAAGAAAGCATTATTCTGGAGGATCTCACATCAACAAATGCAGTTGAGATGGAGAAAGCATCACCACTTGAAGAGAAGTTCAGAAGAAACATTGATGCACTTCTGGAGGAGAACCTAGCGTTCTTGATGAAGTTGAGCATGTCTTTCCAACAGATACAAGGATTTCAGACCAAGTACGATCAGCTACAATCTGAGATCAGTAAGCTAACAAATGACAAGCTAAAGCCAAACAAGGATGATACAAATGATTACCCTGCAGACTCGGAAATGGAAGCAACAAAAAAGAGGCTAAGAGAACTCAAGATTGAACTGCAAGCATGGTTGGAACAGAATATATTGTTCAAAGGTGAACTCCAGTGTAGGTTTGATTCCCTATGCAACCTACAGGAGGAAATTGAAGGAGCCACAGAAATGGATGAAGACACTGAGCGCGGATCTAGATTCACTTCCTATCAAGTTGCAAAATTCCAGGGAGAGGTCCTGAACATGAAGCAAGAGAACAACAAAGTCGCTGATGGACTGCAGGCTAGTTTGGATCATGTCAAAGGGCTCCACACAGAACTTGATAAGGTTCTGGCAAAGACTCTCAATAGCACTAGCTTATCTGGGCCTAAAGCTAGCAGCACATGGAGGAATGCGCCCTCTAAATCAAAAGTACCGCTGCGGATGTTCCTCTTCCCAGCCAAGAAAAAGAAGAAGTCGCTGTTTGCATGTGTGAATCCAGCATACCTTTCGAAGCAGCACAGTGACATGGCATTCTTCACTAAAACGGGCTAGGTGTTTGTCAAAATGCCTAAACATTCAAATATGTTAATGTGATGACCAGGTCTTCTGGATGGAATCAAATTCATCATGGAGCAAGCAAACAAGACTACAGATTTGATGTAAGGCTGTGGCCTAATAATGGCAGAAGGCTATATTAGCCACTATCTTGAAAAAAAAAAGTTCAACCAGAGGCCAATATGCAAATCATTAAACAATGTTGGATACAATTATTACATAGATATATATGTAAAAACTAGCCACCATCACTGCCCAAATTAACTGGAGAAACCTGAAGAACGACAAGCATAACCTCAACTAAGCATTCCCATACCTCAAGGATCAACTCTGCGTTCCATTCCTAAACCTCAAGCATCAACTCTGCGTTACACTGGTCCACCAATGCCGCAAACTCTGTAAAACAGACCCTCAGCTCCTCCCGATCCGTAGCATCTTCCCAAAGATTGAAGTGCTCATCTGATGGGACACTGTAGTGAAAGCGCCTCCCCGCAGCAGCTCCGGCCTCCGCCGCCACCACCTTCTTGTCCCCAGCAGCAACTCCGGCCTCCACCGCCGCCACCTTCTTGTCCCCAGCAGCAGCCACCTTCTCGCCCCCAGCAGCAGCTCCGGCCTCTGCCACCGCCACCTTCTTCTCCCCAGCAGCAGCTCCGGCGGAGGTGGCGCAGACCCCGAAGTCGCTCCATGATGCCGATTTCACCATGCTCACCTTGTTCGACGAACCGGGCCCCACAACCACCACGGCGTTGAAGTCCTTGAGGGGATTCGAGCTGCGCCTGGGCAAGACGCAAGCGCAGCCCACCGCAGGAGTCTCCGCCCCGTCCACTCACATCTCCCTCTTCGTCTTCGCCGCCATGGCCGCCCCCTTGCTCTTCTCTCTCGGTCTCTCCCCCTCTCTAACCCTAGATCTGGATCATACGAAATCGCAGCGGCGTCTATTGTTTTGGCGAGGGACCGGGCTCCTCCCTCCAAGCTCCAACTCCGATCCGTCTCCCAGTCCCACGAGCGCGGCGCGCCGTTGATGGATATCCGCATCGGCAGCGCACCGGCAACCGCCATCCCCCGTTGGAAGACAAACCAGTCGGACCAGGCCTTTGGCCCAATTCGCAGGCTGTTGGATGGCTGGTTCAGTGGTTTGTGGAAGTATGGCTGACTGGTCGTGTGAGAGAAAAATACGGTTTTGGTTGAAAATTTATGATTGTTTATGATAAGCCATAGCCAAACGAACAGGCTGGGACTCGAGGTTAGGTTTTGCTTCTAGTGTGTGAATCCAAATGAAGGGGTTTTTTTATTTTTTTTTTGAATCATACTCTCTCTCCATCTTTTAAAGACGCACATGCATATTAAAATTCAAATTTAAATGATTTTATAAATATTACAATACGATACTATTAGATTTATAATTAAATGTACTATTCAAATATCATAAGTTTATAAATATAAATAATATAAAATAAATAAATAAATAATCAAAGGTAACCTGAGAGATTGCGTCCTATCAAATTCTACGGTTGTGCCTTATAAAAGAGAATAGGAAACGTATTTTAAATTTTTTACCCTGTTTTTATTTTGATTCCTATATGATCCTTTTGGCCTTGCTACGCCACGTGACATTGAAAAATCACTTTTGTCATGTCATACTATATGTGTGGTAACCATGCGAGAAGGGTCTGCATAATATAATACTTTCCGTCAACCATGAACAAGACCTCATTTGGTATGGATTCATACCCAGCTCCTAAAGCCATTTTTTAGCTCCCAAATTATCAAGCGGTCACGACAAATCAGCTTCAGCTGACTTATCAGCTACAAAAATTATCAGCCGAACAGCTCCACCATCCCCCTAATTTGGCATGTGATTTATATCTACAGTAGCTAACAACGTCAAATCCACCATCCACTTCATTTATATTTATCCCTTCAACCAAACATAAAATGGATCGATCACATCTCTGGTTAACCAAACAGAAAATGAAGTTGTCCCGTCCCATAAAATAGAGATGGGACCGTCCCACTCAACCTTGATTTCCAACCAAACGCTACCTAAAAGTCTTATCCAATTTTACTACTATATAAAAGTAATGTATGTGATGAATTAGAGATAAGAGTCATAATCGATCCAGTGTCCGATGTGTGACTTGAACTCACGATCGTGTTTATATACAGTGCGCGTCCATATATATAATAGAGGCGTGATTTCTAAAAATATATTAGAACAGATGACATAATCATGATAAAAAAGAGAAAATTCCCCCAATAACTTTTTCATCTGTCAGCCTATCCTACCACGCACCTCATTCTCCCCTGTGCGCATCTCACCATTATCATTCATACGTTTGTAATTCAAATTCAATATGAGGCCACATTTCTAATCCAAAACCAAACCACGTTTCCAACAGGGTGTGTCTAGCCACACCGTGGAGTTAAATTTTAAGATGTATTAAAATAGATAGATGACGCGGTTGATGAGTTAAATTTTGAGATGTATTAATCCCTGAAGTTGTTGAGTTACTGCACACCACGTTGGCACGTTGTAACTTAATAACGCCTTTTTTTTCTGCCTTGCGTAATTTTCAACAAAAAATAAACATCGCATTGAGTAGAAACAGGCCCAACTGGGCTCACCCGGGCCTGCCCGGAAGGTCCACACGAGACGAGCCCAATTGGTCCAACCGGTCCAGTTCGGCCGCATCCCAGCCGAGGCGTGGGGCCCTGTACACGCGTGGATACCACGCAAATATGGCGGTCCGCTCGCCGACCCGGGTCACTGCGCCGTGGGCCCTGCCCGTGGGTGTGGGATTCGGTTCCTTCGTCGCGTTGCTTTTCTTCCTTTCCTTTCCTCCCTCCCACTCCCACGCGCTCGCGACGCGCAAACTCGCAGGCGGCAACCGCCTGCCCCGGGCCCGCATGCCAGCGGGCGTTGCCTATCCTCCCCGGGCCCGCATGTCAGCCTGACTCGCCGCCACGCGTTTGCCCCCACCCGAATCCTCCCTGCCTTCTCGCGCGTCGCGTTGCCTCCGTCTCCTCGGGTATATAGCCGCCAGCCGGGGAAGGGGAACAGCCAAACCAGCAGCCATCGCCCACAGGAACATCGCCGCCCGAGATCGGCTACTACTTCTGGGCGCCGGAGTTCGCGTCGTCTTTCGGTATGCCCAACTCTCCTCCCACCTTGCTGTCTCTCTACCTGCTCGTAATTCGGTTAGATTTTTTTTTTGGTTCCACAACTTTAGGGATACATGTGGTGTGTGTAGATGAGTAGATCGATGATTTTTGCTTGTTATCATCGTGCTTGAGTTCTGGATAGTGTGTGATCTGTCGATCTGAAGTGCGTGGCTGTACTTATAACTTGTAAGGATCCTCCAAATTAACCCCCTCCCCTGTTTGATCGAGGTGGAGCAGGGGAATTTATCGTGCAGAGGGTATTTTATGGATCCAGCAATGATTAGGGTGGAAGAGTTAATAGTAAATTATAATGTTTTAGGGCTGGAATTTGAGCAACCAGTAGATCCTACTTTTGGTGGCCAAAAAGGTTACATCTGTTCTGCTTGCCAATACGAGTATAACATGTATATTCAGTTACCTTAGGCCGATACGGTAGCATGCTGAAGTGATGTGCAGTAGGAAATTGGAATGATACTCGACCACTATTATAGACGTGCAATTCCATTTGTAGTTCTTTTTATAGGAATCGTTTGGCTTGCGTGTTGCAGTACAATTAACTATTATGATGTATTAGACGCATCGTTTTTTCTTCCTTTAGCAAGTATACACAGCAGTCTATTTTTAGCTGCTCTGTTTTAGCATTCTTATGATCCCCCAGTGGAGCATGTAAGCTTGGATCACAAGTTGTGTAAGGAGAAGGGAGTAGAACTGTAGAAGCAGTATTCAGAACGATGCAATTTTTTTTCTATGTGTTTCTGTTCATTGAATGCCCAAATGTTCTTATGGAGAGGAAAGGCCAAACTTCATTAATAAAACTGACCTTCATCTAGAAAAAAAAATGTTCTTACAGTATTACTACATTCATCCTGTTCCAATATATACCATTCAATTTCATCAGTACACTGCCACATCCAAACTGAAGCTAGTCTACTTTTGTTTGTCCCTGCATCACCTGTTCAATTGCCGTGCATTCTGTTGCTGATATATCGAATTTACTCACTGCATTCTTCCATTTTTTGTTTCAGTCTGCATTCATCTTGTTTCAAAATACACTTCAGCTGGCTCACAGTTTGATACATGTTCTTTCTTCAGGTAAACTTGGGGAGACAATGGGAGGAGGGAAGGACAAGCATGACGAGAGCGACAAGGGGCTCTTCTCAAACATGATGCACGGCGCCGGTGGCCATGGGTACCCCCACCAGGGATACCCACACCAGGGATACCCTCCGCAGGGCTACCCGCCACCACCAGGAGCATACCCGCCTCCGCCAGGGGCATATCCTCCTCCGCCTGGGGCGTACCCACCTCCACCTGGGGCATACCCACCACAACATGGGTACCCTCAGCCGGGTGGCTACCCTCAGCCGGGTGGCTACCCACCGCAAGGTGGATATCCTCCTGCAGGCTACCCTGGCTCATCTCACCAGGGTATTATGATCTCCCTCTTCAGTTCTATACTTAGCTTTTAAAGTAGATTGAGATCAGAATGGCTAGTAGTAGCATTTTTTTTTTATAAGTAGTAGTAGTAGTATTGGTACTGACTCAACATGGTATGAATTACTCTACAATTATATGCTTTGCCTTCTAAATCATAGAGACTCGACCATGACAATAGCTAGCAGAACATTCCTTTCACAACAGAAATGGCAATGACAATACCTAATTCGTCTAATAATATTTAAACAGTTTATATGCAACACTAAGTTTCAGATTGTTTTGGATTGCATTGTTGTATTGCTATATATATACATTTTATTGTTCAGATTCAGAACTGTACTATCTCATACACTTGCACTAACATAGTAACATGTGTATTCTGATCTCGTTGTAATGTTGGAATTGGTAGTTCTATTTTGCTGGTCCAGTCAAACGTTGAAGCTCAGTTCATGATAATGTCTCTTGTGATTTCAGGCTATGGGAGCAGCCATGGTGGGAGCCACATGGGGATGGGGACAGTTCTAGCAGGAGGTGCTGCCGCCGCCGCAGCTGCTTACGGAGCACACAAGCTTTCCCATGGCCATAGTGGGCACGGTGGACATGGGGTCTTTGGAGGCTATGGTCATGGTGGTTACGGCCATGGCTACGGTGGGCACGGCAAGTTCAAGCATGGTCACGGCCACCACGGCAAGTTCAAGCATGGTCATGGCAAGTTCAAGCATGGCAAACATGGGCACGGCATGTTCGGCGGCAAGTTCAAGAAGTGGAAGTGATGTTTCTCCCCATGGTTGAATCATAACTGAACTTGTATGCAGGCTTCCGGGAACATCTGTTGCCTGGAATGCCCTTGCAGTGTATTTAGCAGGGTGATCGCTTGTGGCGAGTGACATGATTGCTAATAAGTGACATAATAACCATTTGCTGTCTTGCTGGTACGCTGTACTATGTTGATGTTGTGGATGAAGCGCTCTGAGCCTCTGAAGATTATATCCTGTGTGTTGGAATGGTCGTACCCTGCGTTTACCCTGCTCATGCAGGCACTGAATGTTTCTGTTGCCAGTAAATCATTGCTGAAGTTATTCTTTTGGTACTTGTTGGTACTTGTTGCTTGTGTCCGAAAAGATGTGTGAATATTATGCGCTGATAAGATCAACTGTTTCTGTGCTTGCCTGAAATGCTGAATAGTAGATGTCAGGGTTTAGGGAGTACGGGTACGACTGTACGAGTATGAGTATAAGTATATGTATCATGTATGTGTGTCCGTATATGTTGTATATGTGTAGCAGGGTTTTTAAACCCAGTGCGCCGGGTGGGAAAAAAAAGGAACGGCAGCACTATCGCTCCGGACGCCCGCGCCTGTTGCACGCATAGGTAGGATCCGTCCGCTCTACCCCCTCACACTTCCCTGCTTCCAGCACCCCTCTATGCCTGCTGCGCCGCTCTCCTCCATGCACGGTGCCCCACGCACAAGGTGTGGTTCGCCCCGCGCCACTCCTTCACGCTTCCCTGCTTCCCGCGCCCCTTCATGCCTGCTGTGCCCCTCCCCTCCATGCACGGCGCCCCAGCAGCTGCGGCAAATGACTCACATTGCAACATGCATAGCACCGCCGATCTACTTTTGAAACATCAAAATAAAACAATTGCAACATACGTTCGAAACAGCTAGAACATTCGAAACATGCAAAAATACATGAAAAACAATTGCAAACATATGCAACATTCAGATAAAACATCTACAATATATCTGTGAAACATGCAACATCATAATAAACACACTTGCAACATACGTCTGAAAAAAACAGATAAAACATTGGGAACAGACACTTGCAACATACGTGTACAATCATTACAACATATGCAACATCCCGATCTACTTTTGCAACATCCGCATGAAACACTTGAAATATACCTACGAAACATCTGAAACACTTGAAACATGTGCTTGCAACATGGTGGAGCCCGGGCCCGGGCGATTTCAGCCGTCGGGGTCGAAGCCATCCCCGCGCGAGCACTACCACCATCACCATCGCTAGCAGGACCGGGCTTGGCTTGGCGGGGCGGGCAGCGTGCGCAACGAGCGGGAGCAAGTGGCGCAGGATGGGCGAGCGTAACGGGCGGGAGCAAGCGGCGCGGGATGGGCGTGAGGCAGCAACGAGGTGGAGTGGCCGCATGGCATCCGGACGGGGAGGTCGCGGGTGGAGAAGGCCGCCGCATTGGAGAAGGCCAGCGGCGGGTGGGCGATACGGTGGATGCACCCGTAGCGGTCACATGCGTGCAGCAGTAGGGGAAGAAAATACCACTTTTTTTTTGGAGAAACCGTGTCATTCTTGTGGAGCAGAGGAGGCCTGTTGGGCCCGATCGTTGGGTAGGCCTAGAAACGAGCCGTCCGGACGGGACATGCCTGAATGGACGCCCGTGTGCCAACATTATCGAAAAAGGAACAAGAACGGACTAACCAAATGTTACTTTCGTTCCTCTCGAGATTCTCCTTTTCTTCTCTACTAACCCTATTTTTTCGTCCCCAATTTCTAGTCGATTTAAGCCTAGTTTCTAGTCGATTTATTACTCAGATCTTTTTTTTTACAAAAGCTACATCACATCAAAATTCAAATGCAATTATCTTTATCCGCACCGAAAGTAAGCCATTTTCGACTTGGCAGTTGGCACACGAACGGGTAGGCATGTTCGGCACACCTACCAGACACAGGATGGTGGGTGTCGCGACTCGCGAGCATGGTTGTCAAGAATCTTGATCTCATCAGATGCTATGCGTCCTACTATATGTTCGTACTATTTCTAATCTAATTTTTTATAATTTCCAAAGTTTTTGTGTGTTAATTGACGCAGAAATGTGCGACACAGGGCTTTTAATCTGTGTGTTGTACCAAGTTAAAAACCATTATTCTTGCTCAAAGTCTGCATCTCTTTAGGATTCCACGCACACGTGTCGTGTGACTGCCTTCTACCTGTATATTATTATCCATCGTGATATTTTTGTGAGCCAACAAGAGTAGGTTTTGTGAGCCAACAAGCCGACGACGGCCGGAGGGAGCTGCAGAACGGCCGGCCGGCGCGGTGGCGCCCCCCGGCTTGACGATGCACAGGATCTCGCTGCTGATGCCTTGGTCAGAGCCGGTGAAGTCTCCAGCAGAGGGGAGAGTGCCGGAGAAACGTTTTTTAAATGCAATGGCGTGAGCGTTTTCTTTTTTCTTTTTTTTTTCTTTTTCAGAGAATGGGCCCAATGGAGGCGTGGCCTTAGCAGTAGGCCCAGCATGGCCCAAGCGTCTCTCTTTGTTGCTTCTTTACCATGCCCCACCTAGAACAGGCTACAAGTTTCTGTCGGGCCTAACAATGAAACGTACTTGTGGTCCAATTCAAGGCTAGCGATGCGATGCATTTCCTTAGAGCATCTTCAAAATTGGACAAGATTCCCAATGCAAATGCACAAGAAAAAAAAAAGTGGTTGAAATAATTTAGAAATAGTTCGATATTCCTGATGTAAATATTTTCTTTATTTTAGGAGTGAGATTTTAAAAATTATTGGAGAAACCCAACAAATATGCTCCTAATATTTTTAGCCACTTGTAAAACTTATTGATTTACCATTTTTTTTGGGAACTATTGGAGATGCCCATAGTTAACTGAGTGGGTTCTACATCCTATATACACATGAGTCTCTAAATAAAGATATCGAGATGGAATTTTTGAGAGGCTCTTGGTGTAGCTTTTAGATGGTTAGCTAAGTGGGTTCTAGATGCTATACACATCGTTATCTAAAAAAGATGCTATACACATGGGTCAAGCCTTAAATTTGACACCATGTCTCATTATTGTGGGCTATCTGCCCTCGTGACAGCGCGTGTATTCGTGTCTTAGAAAAAAATAATATTTTTATATATAACAATTAATACTACTCCCTTCAGTCAATTTTATCTGGCGCAAATTAGAATGACTTGGTCTTCAAGATTACACTTTGACCATTCATTTGCTTTATATTATATTATTTATGCTTATAAACTTATAATCATTGGATAGTATAATTCTTTACAAATCTAATCATATAAAGTTTGTATTGTAATAGTTAAAAATTATTAGCCTAATTGTTGGTCAAAGTTTTTAAAGTTTGAATCTTGATATGCGTGTGCGCCAGATAAAATGGACCGGAGGGAGTAATATATAGGTCTACACTACTCTTTTTTTTTAGACCATAGACCTTAGCCTTGCTTATATTGAAAGCAACAAGGTAACTGCTGGGGTTTCCAGCTTACAGAGTTTGAAACACAACGTAAACAGCAAGGAGATTACAGAAAACAAACGCTGGAGCGCTCTGAAACAAACTAAGCCTACTCAAAATAGAAAGATAGCGATGTGACTTCAAGTTTTTTCCCCAAAGGTTCTTGGACCACCTCCACCAGAACACCTCTACAAGCAATTTTCCATCTTTGTTACCCTCACATCTTTATGTCAGAATGTCTTCCAGTATTCAGTAGATCAGATCACCACGCCTTCAAGCCCTCTTGCAGTTTCATGATCGTGTCCTCCATCTTCATTTTCTCCTCTGGTTTCAAAAGCTTCCTCCACTGTGATAGAAAACCCAAGACTTTATAAGCTATATTCTTAGGGGATTTGCAGCCTGTTTGTTTGGATGTGGCTTGTCGTAAATGATCGTAAATTTCCAGCCGAAACAGTATTTTTCTCTCACACAAAACAGCCAGCAGTACTTCTTCACGAACCAGCCACGAAACGAATCAGCCAACCGAACAGGCTGTTGATTAGCACACCATTAAAAACCCAGTCATTTCTAGTTTTCCAAAGACTCCACGCCACACTGACCAAAATAAAGAAAAAGAAACATCCTTAACGCTCCCCGCTCCAATTCCCATCATAGCCCCATAGCTGTGAATGGAAATTGGCCTCTCATACCACCTCAGGCTAACTGTAACCCAAACCCAAATCATTTGAGCGGTTGTACAGTTGAAGAATAAACGATCTCGGGTTTCCAACTTTCCACAGTATTTGCACTTCTCTGAACCTTTTCCTTTTCTGATCTTAAGTTGTTCTCCAGTTTGCACTCTGTCGTGCCAAAGCATCCACAAAAAAAATTTGATCTTTAAAGGTAACTTGGCCTTCCACATTTCTGTCATTCTCAGGTCCATCTCTCCACTTGTCGGGTATCAGTATCAGGGATACCCGAAGAAGAGATCTAAGGACCGCGGACGACAACTCGCCTAGATAATCAAGTACGTATTTCAGTCTCGACCGACCCCGAAGGGACGGTTTCCGCCTCGCCAGACACCTCGGGCACGGGCTCCGTGTCGCCCGACCCCGAGGGTACGGGAGCCGTCTCGCCCGACTCCGAGGGCACGGGCTCCGTCTCCCCCAACCCCTCAGGCGCGGGCTCTGCCTCGCCCGGCGGGGTCCGTACCACCCCCAACCACTACGGGTCCGAGCATATGGGCCTGGGTCAAACCTCTTACACCAGAAGGGGCGCGGGCACGCCTTGACGTGACCCGTGGCCACGACAGGCCACGCCCGGGGGTTCGCATAGCCAACAGTGACGGGAGTGCGGGCGCTGTGCTGCATAATCCCCGTACGGCCGCTGACAAGCACGTCGGTTCACCACGTCGTTCGCGCGGGACGGAATGGAACGCCACGACCAGCTGATGACGTCGAGGCATAGCACCAGTGGTCACCATCTACGGTGTCGGCGGGACCCGCATGAAGGAGAAGAAGGACGCGGCGGTCCCAGAGGGCTTCTTCTCCTCGATTTTCT